CACTACAGACCGATAACATCAGGATATTTAATTCCTGGCAAATCAACCGTGGTGAGATTCGAATACATACATACATACATACTTTCATTTCAATTTCAGATCATTGTTTCCATTTTGGAAAGTTTTATTTTGAGTCCTATTTCTTAGAATACCTGGTAGAAGATGCTGACTATATTTGTTCAAGATCATTCTTATCCCAACTATGAATACCTATGTCGTCAGTGTAACTATGATGTCCAGTCATCACTGGCCTAGGGAGGGAAAGTAGCATCGTTGTCTTCTATTACTTGATTCATTTGATTTAGGATATGGCATAGAATGCTTAAATGATCATTACCTATCTCTTCACAACTATACTTGTAAATGATTAGGGCATAGTCTAGAAAAAGATTAAATAGGCTGGGGCTCTTATTTCCTCCTTGTCGTAGTCCTGGTGAATTTTGAAATGTTTCGATATTGGGGCCCTCGCCAAGCATTTAAGATTTTGTGAATCGATAATGTTTTTTTTACTAGATCTATGCATTTAGTGGATACTGAGTTTGGAAGGCAATTTTTAATAGATGAAAAGAGGTCTCTATTAATGTGACCATATACTGCTCTTTGGTTGACCTAGCAGGTATAAAGGTTCTTATTTGAGAGGTAGGAAATTTCTTGGAGTTGTTTGATAACATATAAGACATTATTGCGTCCCTTACCAGAACGAAAAACCAAACTGGGTTTTGAGTTGTTGACTTTCATAAAAGATGGAAGCCTAGTTAATATAATGTCCATTAATATTTTCGCCATAATATATTGACTTAAGATACCTCTATATATGTGAGGTATATGAAGGCTACCTTTTTGTTTTCTATAGTGCATTAATCCAGGATAAGCCTTATTTTGGTGGATCTATTTCTGAATCGAGACTGTCTCTATAAAATTAAGCTATTTTCAAACGTTCAGCCTCAATGTCAAGTGACGCTTTTTGTTCTTTAGTTTTTAATAGATTTCTTAATTCCTTCATCATTAGGTTCATTATTGTTTATGTTTGGAGACAGACTTTGTAATGATTGGATGTAGGAGGTCTGATCAAAAGGTATCGGCACTGTTGCTATAAGAAGATAACTACAACATATATCACGCCATGGTCACTAATAGAACCTCTATGGTATGATGAGACGACCACAGTTTGCACACATTCCTTCTAAGCACTGCTATAAAATTGGAATTGAGTGAAAACGTTATAATTTAGTATGCAAGCACGACAGAGTTCAAGGTCAATCGGTACCAAGAAACTTCCCCCTGTGTACGTTAGCTCCGTTACCATACTAACAGTCCCGATAATTTTTTACCAGACATCGCATATGTTCTATTTTCGCGGTCTTCTTTAGTTTAGTGAGATAAGGGTTGAAATGTGACTCAAAGATCAGGACATTTCTTTTGTGTTGAATTTTTATTATAGGTTGCTATTGTGATTTTTTGCTTTTCTTCACATTTTAACATTGTTTGGTGTTCTTTAATATTTGTAGTTTTATTCAGAGCTTACATACCACTGAAAAGTGGTCTTTCCCACAGTCGGCACTTGCGTATGTGTTACAGTGTAGAACTGCATTCTTGGACCTCTTATTGATTATTATACACTCGATCTGGATTCTCATTGATATTTCTGGGCTTCTCCATACCGATAACCGTCTTGGATTTTCTTGAAACTAAATAAATATACCTCTCTGTCGATCATAAAATTCTATTACATCAGCAGAAGAGCGAACTACTCAGAACTGGGATATTCACTTTGAGTTGTTTGGTGATGTAAAAAAGTGTTACATGTGCAAAAGTATGAGAATTTTTTTAAAAAGAAAATAGTAATTTCTATTATTGATAGTCTCTATGGATGTCATGCATGGCACCAAACCCGTTCAGAAATATCTAAAATGTCAGCTGTATAAAACCGCTTTGTAAGATCCATGATGAAAAAGGCTTTGAGCGAGTAAAGCTTGAGTTTCTTGGCAAAGGATAGGATTTCCGGTTTCTTTCTAAAGTCTTTCATTTCCAGTAGCTCCTTGTGTCTTAGTGACAGTATCGCGTTTCTTGGGGTGAACTGATTAAAAAACTACCGCACTTTCTTGACTAGACAACTCAAAATCCCTTATTTTATAAACCTTGGACCACTCTTTTGTTTTCCCTATCGCATGCTTGGGATCGTTACCTCACTGAATGTACTTACATCTTGGTTTCGTAGATAGAAGCATGTCTTCACCTGTATTTCTCAATGCAGAGTACTATCCAATGTTGTTTAGGTGATACGTAGACTGTCTGTACCAGCGAGAGGGGCAGTCCCGTACCATTTTACTTCTACTATCATATGTGTAACTGAAGCAATGGAAGACGATACTTCGTCAGACCTTATAGACTGGTGCTACAAAACCATAAAGAGCTTTAGCAAATAACGAAAACCACGTCACTTGAAAACTTCCAACAACTAAAATGCGTAACATATAACTGGAAGAGGAAATAATGACATACTCTAACTTTCAACAATACAAAAAACAAAAATATTCGAAGGAAATTTCCATCGATATTAGAAAGATCTATAACAATAAGCATCAAAGTGAAATTACCTGAAAAACTCGTTTTAGAAAAGACTTTATTAATTTCAAACGACTATAATAACTTCTAAATTTTAACACCTCCAAAACAAAATTGCTCTCATTTAACCACCACAAAGAAGCTTTAGGCTGACACTAGACTCCTGGAGAGCAACACACTGTGCCTTCTTAGCCTCACATGTTCAACTGACTTGAAGAGGAACGACTACATCGAAGAAATAGCTACATTTACTGCAAGGAATTTTGGATCACTTTGTCCTGCCAGAAAACTTTTCTCGTCAGACTCCATCTTGTACATTGACAAAGCTACCATTCATCCGTGTATTGAATACTGTTGCCATATCTGGTCTGTTCCTCCTGCTATTCATCTTGAGGGTCTTTACAAAATCCAAAGAAGGATCTGCAATGTAATCGATCCTGATTTGGCATCTCGATTTCAGCCGCTTTCTCACTGATTTGACGTAGCTCCCCTTTGTCTTTTCTACAAATATTTCCTTGGCAACTGCTCTGACGAGGGTTTTTTCCGTACTGCCCCAACTACATGAATTTAAGCGTTCTAATAGATTGGTATCTATGTCCCACCCGTTTACTGCTGAAATAGCTAAATTCAACCGCCACTTCTATTCGAATCGTTTCTTTTCTCGCCCTTCCCGCCTGTGGAACTCTTCCGCTTACTTGCTTCCCTGATATCTACAACCACCAAAAATTAAAATGCAACGTCAAGCGCCATCATCTTTTTGAATCCCGTTCATCTTTTTTCCTTTCCTCAATCCCCCGATTCTCTTCTCATTTTCACTCCCTGTAGCCCCTGCGTACTAGTGGCATTTCAACCTTCTTTCTAGTGACACCAACTACCCAGTCAATGAATGCCAAATATTTCTTGTATGGTAACTGTTAATTTCACCATTAACGTTTTCTTCTTTCTTCTTTCTTATGGGTGTCATATGAGGTACCCTTCTTTCTACGTTCATATCTCGACTGTTTCCACCAAATAATGGTATATGTACCAAGACGTTTTCTGTTTTCTGAATCTATCACCCTTCAATCCTATTCCATTTTATTTCTTTCTGGGCTTATTTGTTGCATTCACTCAATGTCTCATCTCTCTCTCCCACTCTTCATACTGTATACGTTTGGTATTTTCCCGTGTCTTGTCTATCTTAGCTTCTTATAATCGTCATTGTTATGGGATGCTATTACTGATGATTCAGTTTTTTTCTTCAGACTTCTTTGTAGTTATTTCCATGTTTGCGATCTCTTTAATCTGCCTTCTCTCCTTTTGGCTTCTCGTTTGTGAATTTCCTTCTCTACACATCGGCCTTCTGTCAGTTCCGTTGCAAATTTTGGCTGATGCAATGTTTTAAGGATTCTAACTTGTAGAATCATTACAATTTTTATACTCTGCATATGCCAATTCCTAATCTTATAAAATGTATTGGCTAACCCTTTTTGAATACCAAAATCTTAGTCTTAAGTATTTTTAATATTATTTTCATATTTTTCCCTTATTTTATGGTTGTCTTTAATTCTTATATTCTTTTATCACCCGAATATCTTCTCGTGAATTTAAATCACCATTTAACAAAAAAAAACAATATTTATCAATCTTTTGTCCAGTCACAACACATTAAACTTTGCTCAAGCGTAATACTTGGCGTTATAACAGACGGCAACACAATTGGTTATAATGAGTCAGGCTGTCATTTCTTTTTCGATCTTACTCAAGTCTCGTTCTAATCAGTGTGCATAAACCTCAAATTTAATCAACTCATTTAATCTGATTATAAACAATTTTTATTTCCATTCCTGATTGAAGACGCTATATTTTTTTTAATTTTATTCGAATGAACAAAATTAGGATTTTTCTCCATTATATAAATCCGCTTGGCTGTTAAAATGCCATCTTCGCCTTTTTAATAGAGCTGTTATCAAACAATAGCTTTTGTCATCATTTCTTTTAGCTTTTATTTTAATTAAAGTTTATAAGAATCTCCCGTAACCTAGTAGAATCTCATCGTTAAACATTTTTTGCATTTTTATGTCAACAACATGACGCTTTTAGGTACGTTAATTAATGGACGTGCGGGTAACATAATGGCTACCCAAGCTTAAATTGCAACCGGCCAGCCGATTGATTGATTGATTGATTTCTTCGTTTTCTACGGCTTATCAACCATTTTGCCGGTTATTTAAAGCCAGAAAATATTTTTTAAGAATTCATTTTTTTTTTTTTTTGAAATATGATAATGATTTTAATAATGGTTTCGGAGAAAATAAACTCTTACTAATTAATCCATAGCTGGTAGTTAAAGAGTTGGATTCATACCATTCCCAATAGTATTTGCATGAAAGTGAATCCAATGGGAACTGGGACAATTCCGAGCCGTTATCCATTACACCACCGCACATTCAAGT